AGGCTACCACACAGGAACCTTGAGCTGCTGCTCACAGGGCTCCTGCACAGGCCTGCCTTACTCCCAATCCTGCGGTAGGACACCTTCCCACCACAAGCCACTAAGGAGGATGGGGTCATGGACATACACACAGCAGTGCTGCACATGGCACACAGGCATGCCTGCACTCTCGGGGCAGCATCCACTCCTGGGCAAGGATGGCAAGGCAGAAGACACTGCCAGGAGGAGGAGGAGGAAGTGGAGGGGATACACACAGAGCTGCACAATCAGAGCATACAGGCACGCAAACACACACACACACACCCCTCCTCCCCCTCCACGCAGGGATACAAGTCCTCTCCCTGTGGGATGCCGCCATTGCCGGACTCGGCATGTGCACAGCGTGAGCTGCCCTGGTGCCCCCTCCTGCACGCACGCACACTCCCAGGTCTGGCCCACACCTTCCCATGCCTGCTTGTCCCCGGGGTATGGGAGTAGCAAGGCTTCTCCCTCCACCCCCCCGGGACGTCTGTGCTCCTGCCGGAAAGGGACCACTGTCAAGGCCTCACATGGCCTTGCTCAAAACACATAGCCTTTGTCTGACCAGAGACCTTTCAGTGTCAACTCATGAGGGCTACTCTTCATGCAGTGTCTCCTGGGATGACTGTCCTTTCCTTTGTTCTTCACAGTTGGGCCAGTTGCAAGTAAGGCATGAGCCACATCTCCTGCACCAGCCTCCCGACCCCACAAGGACCTCAAGCAGGAACACATAGCCTGCCTCCAGTCCCTTCAGCAGTCCCTGGTGCAGCAGGACTGTAGGATGGACAGAGATCTGGAGGAGCACTGGCCTGATCAGTAGCTGCACTGCTCCACCTAGCAGGAGCTGTCCCAGGAGGCCCAGAGCATGTGCACGGTATACAGCACTGCTGCCAACCAAATGTTCACTACGACTGAGCAGTCCAACAGCCACCCCTTTGCACCTGCTCCTTCCCAAGACCCCCCACCTCCGCTCCTACTCCTACTCCTCTCCCCACTCCTCCAACTTCTCCCCCCTCCCACACAAGGCAGTGGGACGACCCAAAGCAGGCACCAGTCCCAGCCCCAGCCCTAAACCTTTCCTCCCCCTTTCACCTCTCTCCTCCCTGCCAGGTTCTTTCCCCAGTTCTATTTACTCCAAATTGTTAAAAAAAGTGTATTCTTTCCAAACAAAAGGTCTGGTTTATTGTATCTGCAGGGGAGGAGAGAGGAAGGGGAAGGTGAGCAGGGAAAGGAGGGGTGCGGAAGGAAAGGCACAGAGGAGCAATGCAGAGGTCCCTTGTGAGGAGTCCCAGGGAGGAGTCTCACAGTTGTCCTTGTCTGAAACTCTCCCTCAGGGCCTCCCAGTTGTGCATAGCTCCGATTGGCTTGTTGGATGGCAGCTGTGCATAGCTGCTCAAAGGCCCTTCTGAGCTGCTAGGCTTCTGCCCCCCACCCTGGAAGGAACGTCTCCCCCTTGTTTTTGCACAGGTTGTGCAGGACACAGCAGGCTGACACCACCTGGGGGGCATTCCGTTTGCCGAGGTCCAGGCAGATGAGGAGACAGTAGAACCTCCCTTTGAGACAGGCCAAGGTACCCACCACAAAAATGAGGGCCCTGCTGAGTCTACCATTGAAATGTTCCTTGCTTTGGTCAAGATATCCCATGTAGGGCTTCATCAACCAGGGAGCAAAGGATAGGCTATGTCCCCTACGATGCACATTGGCATGTTCACATCCCCCCACCCTGATGGTGTAGTCAGGGAAAAGTGTGCCAGCATGCAGCCTGTTCTAGACGATGCAGTTACAGAAGATACAGGCATCGTGCTCCTTCCCTGACCACGCGATGTTGATGTCAGCGAAGTAGCCTTGATAGTCCATAAGGGCCTTCAGGACCATGGAAAAGTACCCCTTCTGGCTGACATAATCTGATGCCCAGTGGTTGGGAGCCTGGATGGGGATGTGGGTGCCATCAAAACCCCCAACCCATACTTGGGGAAGCCCATGGTGGCAAAGCCAGCAACGATGGGTTCACGTCACCCAGGATGACGACCCTGCATAGTAGGATGGTGTTGATGACCCTCAACACCTGTAAAAGGATACAAACAGCAAATCACGAGGTTGCCAGGGCCCTTGAGAGGTCCTTGAGCTTAATCCTCTTTCCCACACTCTAGAACCAACCCCAACTTAGCCCACCCGGGGAATGGGGTTTCTGAAGGCAAGACTGGAAAGCCTTCCAGGGACAGAACTTCCACCATCTTCCACTTCCTTAAAGAACCCCATTCCAGCAGTTCACTGCCCTCCTGGGACAATAGCACAAGAACGCCATACCTGCATGACCATGGCCCTGACGGTTGATCTCCCCATGCCAAATTGGTTCCCAATTTGTCCGGTGTGGAGAGCTTCCAGAAGGCAATGACAATCCATTTCTGGAGGGGAATGGTGGGTCTCATGTGGGTGTCCCATCGCCTGAGGGCAGGGGCGGTCACTCACACAACTCCAGAAAGGTGTCCTTCCACATGCAGAAGTTCTAGAGCCACTTCTGGTCATCTCTGAGCCACTGCTGGTCGTCCCAGCGCTTCATGACAATGCGGTCCCACCAGTCTGAACTGGTGTCCTGTCACCAGAAATGGTGGTGCATGGTGTGCAAGGGAGGGCGGGAGGCTCTGTGCTTTATGAGCAGCACATGTAGAAAGGAGAGGAGATGCCCCTCAGGGAACAGCGAGTCCTATTTCTGCAAAGCCATGAGGGCAGCCTTCAGTAACTGCACCAGAAGGTGTGGCAGCAAGTGTAAGAACTGACGACTGCTTTGCAACAGGTCCAGCTTGATGGCTGGAGTGCTGTGTTGTCCACAAGGGCAACCAGAGCACGCAGTGGGAAGAGTTTACTGTCCCTCAAGGAGGTAGGCAATGGAGAAGAGCCTCAGGCATGACTGTACAGGGGGTCCCTTTAAGCAAGATCCTCAGCTAGTTTTAGGAAGCAGCTACATGAAGTGACTACTGTCCTGATACCCAGCCACAAGTGCTTTTGGGGGGGCTTTAAATGCAATTCCAGCTCCAATGAGTGTGGACACTATTTTGAAATAGCTTGGCGCTTTTTCAATGGGTATTTGTAGTGTGGATGTGCTATTTCAAAATAAGCCATCTTAGAGTTTTTATTCTAAAATAACATATTTTGAAATAAGTTTGTAGTGTAGATATACACTAAAGAATCTAGAGGATTAAAAAAAGTTGTGTATTTTTTTTCTCTCTCTGCGTGTGTGTGAGACTATTAATATGAAAAAGAAGTTTAAACAGATTTAGACAATACAAAGTATTTCAATACCTACATCATGTCTATACCACTGTTGTCCAGTCCCACCATCTACAAGCCAAGGCTTAGGGATATCCAGAGCATGGGGCTGTGCCCTGACCATCTTGGCTAATAGCCATTTATGGACCTATGCTCCATGAACTCACTTAAATTATTTTTTGAATCCATTACACTTTTTGCCTTCACAACATCTCCCAGCAATGAGTTCTACAGGTTGACTGTGCATTGTATGAAGCAGAACTTTATTTGTTTTAAACCTGCCTATTCATTTCATTATGTGACCCCGGATCATATGTAAGGATTAAGGACACTACTTCAGCCACTTTCTCCATACCATTCATAATTTTTTATAGACCTCTGTCACAACTAGGGCTTTATTTCAAAATAACCACTCTTAGGTCAAATTTATAAGAAGAGCATCCATACTACTAAGCCAGTTATTTTGAAATAGGGGGCCGATTATTTCGAAATCTTTACTCCTGCTTTTCTTGGAGAATAACGCTAATTTTGAAATATTAATATTTTGAAATAGCATTAGTGTTGACATTCTGGTGCTGCTATTTCAAAATAACTGCTCCCTGGAGTAATTCAACCTAATTATTCCCCAGTGCTTCCTGGGGCTCTAAGTCAAGGTAGCGCATCCACATTAACAGAGCCTGCCTCAGACTGATTTCCAGGCTTCTCCATAGTGTGGACATGCTATTTTGATTTTAACAAGTTGATTGTTAAGTAGATTTTAGTTATTTTGAAATAGTTTCCTAGCGTCAACATGGCCTAAAGTGCCACAGTACTCCTTGTTGTTTTGGCAGATACAGACTATCACTGCTACCCCTCTAAGAACTCAATTTAGGACAGACCCTCAGATTTGTCACCGAAAAAGAATGACTTCTGTGGGAGAACCTTCTTCACATTGTCTGTAACTAAGACAGATGCAAAGACTTTATTTAGCTTCTCCTACTCATGTCGGAATTCTGCACCAAAAAGTTAAAAAGTCTGCACATGATTTGAAAGTTCTACATATTTTGTTTGTCAAAACAACAATATAATATGTCAGTTTCAATTATTTTGATAATTTATTTCAACATGGCTATCAGCAAATATGTCTTTAACATTGAAGAAAGCAAACAAGATTCAGGAAATGTTTTTTGAGAGGGACGCCTTACTTGACATATTAATATAGAACTTTAAGTAATTAAACTACAATACAGGAACAAAATCTCATAAACTATTAAGCATTTCCTAAACACAGATAGTTCTGCCCATGGAAGGTCCGCTCTAAACCAGAATTTGCAACATAAATGTACCAGGAATTAAGACAATATAGAACCCAGAAAAAAAAAGTGGCTCCTTGACACTCACTGAACAAAACATTGTTGAAATAGTTCAGAAATATTTTATGTTAGCATAAGTTATACATTTCTGCATAGCGATGTCAAAAACACTAGCAATATAATTCAGATATTTATATGTAAAATGATAGATTGGGAAATGTACATACTAAACAGGCCATACATCAAAATAAGAGGCTTATACTGGAGCTTTTACACTCAGCAAACTAAATAATCAGACCTATATCAAAATTTTAAAAAATTATCAAATTTATATATAAATAAAAATGTGAGGAAAATACTCCCCAAAGTTCCTGATTTTAAATGGCACATTTTTAGAATGATATTTCTGTTCAGACGAGCTAATTTAAACAAAAAACAATTTTAATAGAAAGAAAAATATAAGTATGTTTACAGTAAAGCAGATTTTTTCCCCTAATTGAATGGTCAGTGAATCATCTCATTAGAGGAAGATATAGTTGATCCTTAGGACAAGTAGGGCACAATAGGCTCATCATGGTGTCCTCCTCAAAAAACAGAAAGAGGAAAAAAACATTCCTGGAGGAGAAAGGAAGTCATGCAATCAGCAAGTATTCACTCTAGAGACAGGCAAGAAGTGCACACAGGAAGAAGGACTTAAGACAGTGAGATCTAATTATAAAAATCAAGAAATATAGCAACACAAATTAACATCCCTGGTTCATTACCAGGTACCCTAGATCAGTGGTTCCCAATCCTTTTTACACAATGGACTGGCAAACCCATTCATAAATTTTTGATGGACCAGTTACATTTTATTTGCATATTCACTATGCAAATAATGAATATGCAAATAAAATGTTACCTGTCTGCGGCAGCCACCTGCCATGAGGTGACTGCTGGAGCTGAAGCCAGCTGTTTGCAGTGGCTCTAGGGACGAGGGGTACACCAGTCTCACATGCACCCATGGGCAGCCCGGAGGTGGTGATTTTAATCTCCCCTATATGTTTCTGATGCCTGAATGGATGCACCCACTTGAGGGCCATTTCCTAGGAGAGGCACGTGACCCCTCCCACAGCTTCCCTTCACTATCAGAATCAATCTACGGTGGCATTCTCGGAAATGCTTCCAGTTCCACGCTCAGGGCCAGGTAGACAGGCAGAGCTTCAGAGTCTCAATGCGTGGATGAGACAATGGTGTAGGGGAGAGGGGTTTGGATTTATTAGGAACTACAAACAACCGCATATAAAGGAATCCAATGCATAAGGGAAGGGCAGACAAATAAGCAGTGGCAAATTTCTAAAGTGCTTCTACACAAATGCTAGGAGTCTGACTAATAAGATGGGTGAACTAGAGTACCTCATATTAAAGGAGGAGATTGACATAATAGGCATTACTGAAACCTGGTGGAATGAGGAAAATCTGTGGGACACAATCATACCGGGATATAAAATATATCAAAAGGATAGAGCAGGCCAGGTGGGTGGAAGAGTGGCACTGTATGTGAAAGATAATGTAGAATCAAATGAAATAAAAATATTAAATGAATTAACATGTTCAATAGAATCGCTATGGATAGTAATTCCATGCTCCAATAATAAGAAATTAGCAGTAGGGATATATTACTGACCACCTGACCAGGACAGCGATACTGATATTGAAATGCTGAGGGAGATTAGAAAGGCTACCAAAATAAAGAACTCTATAATAATGGGGGA